TCTTTTTACAAATTTACGTGAGCGTTTGGCGCAAATTAATAGCTTTGAATGCAGCTAGAAATTGTTTTTGCGCAATTGTTAAAGATATTTAAATGATTTTGTGTTCTAATTTCCACTACTGAATTTTAAATCGAATTGGCAGACAGTTTCAGCCGGTCGAATTGGCCGATGGCGAATTGGCAGTGAATTGGCAGACAACTTCAGCTTGGTCATCTGCGGCGCATGAATGGAGCGGCGTTTGGAACGGGCCTTAACTATCACATTGTACTGTAAGTAAGTAGTGTGCTGTAATATTACTATTTTCTCTTTTTAGTTTGTTTATTTTTTTTCCTATGTATATTGTGTTTGTAAATTAATTAAAAGAAAAGAAAAAATCATAGGCTTGTCACCTGCTCTTCAAACGCCCTCGTGAGTCCTAATTATACTACAACAGCCAGGCTTTCGTCACAACCGGGCATCTGTCATTATATTCTTCTTGTATTCAGCCTCCTAAACATGGAAATGCCTCTGGCGTCTAGCTCACGTTCAGTGTGGATCCCTAGAAAACACTGCAAAAATGCCCGTGCTGAAAGCCTATTTCCATGTGTCGCAGTGTTGCAATTAATATTCCTGTTCATTTAGATTTTCTTCTCCGTTGCAGTTCAAGAGCACCAACCAATTCTAAGTATGCGTTGCAGACTTAAGCACAAGTCTGTTTTAAAGTTTGCCTTTATGATCTTCACGGTTTTCGCCATCGGGGTTCTCTTTGTAAACGAGTTCATTCCATTGCCACTGAATCATCGGGATCAAGAGGATGGACTGCCAAATATCGTGACGGAAACCTCGAAATGGAATCGGTTTCTAGGTGAGTAAACTAAATGTTCCATAAAACTAGACATACATACATACATACACTCTTTACTCAAGACGCAATTTCAAATTAATCTTCTCAAGTTGAGCGGCGACGTGAACCCGAATCCTGGTCCGACTTGCTCTAAACAGCACAATTCTACAGGACAGCAAAAGCCCACTCGTCTTCTAACGTTTTATGCTAATGCACGAAGCATCGTCAACAAAACAAGCAAACTAGAATTAGACGTCGCCGCTTCGCGCCACGATATCATCGTTCTGACTGAAACTCATCTGGACAGCTCAATTTCTGATGGGGAAATCTTCCCTAATAATTACACGATTTTTAGACGAGACAGAAGGCTCAATGGGCGTAAAGGCGGTGGGATATTGATCGTCATGCGGGACAATATCAAAGCAATTCCTAATGACACTTCACAGTACGACTCAGAATTTATCTTCGTCGATGTTTTATTCTCTCACAACCGTAAAGTTACATTGGGTGTCTTTTATCGACCACCCAACAACGAGATTAAGCCCATAGAAGACCTGCAGGCTTTTTTACAAGAGCTCTCGACGAACGAATTGATTCTTCTTGGTGATTTCAATCTTCCGGAGATTGATTGGTCGAACAACAGAGTTTTACGGCAATCCGATGTCTACATACTTCTGATGGACGTTGTTCAAGATAATTTCCTGACTCAACTAACAAATGAACCTACACGCTCTAAGAGCGTTTACTCGGGCTTCCTACCGCAATATCAAATCGTACTTTACATGTAAGCTTATTGAAAACAATAAATGCAAATAAAAGAATCAGGAAATTTTAACGCAAGAGTCAAAAGGCCCGTTCCAAACGCCGCTTCATTCACGCGCCGAACCTAATTGATGAGTGAAGTACGGCAGAAGAGCGGCGTTTGAATTGGTTTGGTTCGGCAGGTTAGGTTTGGTGCGGCAAACAACATTAAATTCGGCTTACGGTACTTTGCGAAACGAAACGAAACGAAAC